TTACTTTTTAAAATAAAATTTATTTAAATATTAATGTTAGTGCGATCATGCAGATATTTTTTTTTAAATAACAAAGATGGATGATTGATTATTGGTTAAAAAAAAAATAATTTATATAGTAGAGAAAAAAATGGGTGTGTAAGTGCGAGAATAAAATGATGCTTTGCAGAAAAAATAGAAAAGTAACATTATTAATATTTATTTTTATTTTTTTATTTTTTTTTTTTTATTTTCATTGTAAATCTATTTTTTATTTGGCAAATTTTTTATTTTTTTTTTTTTATTTAATTTTCTAATCACCACCAGTTCAATCAGAAAATATTTTAAATACTTTATAATTAATAATCATAATTAGTTAAAGTATATGTATATAAAAATATTAAAGTAGGTTATACATACTCAATTTTTTTTATTTTTTTATTTTATTAAGTTAAATTTTTATTCAAAAAAGATATTTATAAAATTTTTCTAAATTATTTATTTATTTTTTTTTTATTTTCACAATTCTCCATACTATTACTATTTTTTCTCTAATATTTTTTTATTTTTTTTTTTTTTATTGTTCATTTGGATAATAATAAATCTGAGTTTAAATCTCAATCACAAAAATAAAATTTATTAGAGCGACTCATGCACTTTATAATACCAGAAAGGTATTTTTTGTCCCAAGAGCACCAAAATAAAAAAATCAATTTTGATTTTTTTTAATTTCTTTCTTTTTTATTATTTTTTGTATTATCATAAAAATATTTCCACAAAATGGGGAATGATAATAAGCAGAACCCACACACAAATAAAAATATATATACGAGACTATCAATATAACCTATAGAAAAATTTTTTAGATTTTATAATTTTATTATTATTATTATTATTATTTTTTTTTTTTTTTTTTTTTTTTTTTTTTTTTTTTTAAATATTCGAAATACTTTCTTCAAAAAATCAACAAAAACTTATAACATTTAAATCAACCAATCATATCAGTAATAATAATTTATTAATTATAATAATTAATAATATAACAGAAAAAAAAAAAAATTTTATAATAATAACAATTTTTAATTATATTCAATTTTATTTCATTTTTTTCATTTGTACATTATAGTTTTTTTTTAATATATATTTTTGTAATTTTAGTAGTAAGTCGATTTTTTTATTTTATAATAATTGATTTTTAATATATTTCTCTTTTATTTTTTTTTTTTTTTATATTTTTTATTTTTTTTATTTTTTAAATCAAACATCTTATTTTTCATCACTAATTCCAAATTATTTTTTTAAAAAATAAAATTTTATAAATAAATTAGATAAAAATCTTTTTTTTTTTGTTTTTTAAAATTTTTTTTTGTTTGTAAAGAAAAAGTGTTTTAGAAATGAGTTATATGTTCGAACTTTTCGACATTGTTGCTGGTGCAAGAAGAAATACTGTAGAAAATAATCAACAACAAAATCCAGCAGAAAATAACCAAGATTCATCTGTCCCAAACGATGACGAAGAGGCAGTAGCAGAAAGTCAAAATAGTAATAATAATGGTAATAATAATAATACAATAATAACCGATAGTGCAGATAATAATAATGGTAATGAACATGATAATGATGGATCGGATTTGGTATCAAATGAATTAAAACCCAATGGAGCAAGATCTGCATCAATATCAAAGTTTCAATTAAATATGAATAAAATAAATAGAAATAATAGTAATGTTAGCAATGAAGGGTCACCCAGAAATCATCATGGTAATCAAAAAGGAAGTGGATCTCGTAGTAATAGTGTATTTGGAGAGTCACCAAGAAATAAGTTTATTGAAGGTTTTTTAGGCCCAACCACCGATCCATCACACGAAACAGCTAATGCCCATCACGATAATAAAGATAATACTACACCGGGAGGGGAAAAGACACCAGGGGAGTTTGATTTTTACAACGAATATTATACAGAGAAAGGAGAATTAAAACTATTTGTTAAACCTAAAAAATGGTGGCAATGGGATACATTGTTATTATCATTTTCCTATTTATCAAAGCTATCATTACTTTCCTTCCTTGTAACCATAGTAGTTTGTGCCTATGTATCTTTTTATATAATCCTTGGTAATAGATTTATATTTTACAATAAAGACGATAGACCCAAGTGGGGTTTGGCCACATCGATTATTGCCGGTATTATTAACGAACAACTTTTAGTAACAGTTTCTTTTTGTGTGCTTACTTCGCAGTTTGGTTTTAAAGCTACAAGACCTGCTATACCCTATGCCGCTTTCTTTTCAATAGCCTCAATTGTATTTACAACTTGTGGTCGTGTTTTTTCAATAACTGGCACTGGTGATTTTATACCAAAATATGCATTGGTTTTGGGTAATATCATAATTGTAGCATTGGTCGTCGGCATTAAAACTTTTAAATCAAAGCTTTTTTGTCTATGGATCGCACTTCCTTATGTTTTATTGGGTATAATTTTAATTATTTATGACTATTTCTTAATCAAATGGTACATCAAAGAGTCAACTGGCGAGTTTTCTAAATCAGTAGTTAGAATTGTAATCCACCCACTTATTACCGCTTTCTGTTTATTAATTTCCCGTTTCTGTGCTAACCAGCTCGGTTGCCACAACCCACGTTCTGTAATTTCATTAATGTTAATTCCTATCGCTTTCAATTCCTTCTATGGTAGATTATTTGGTAACACTATGGAGACTTTATCTGGTGTCGTTATCTCATCATCAATTTTAGCTGCTTTAGAAATAGTATGGAAATGCTCATTAAGAGCAAGAGACTCATTTATTGTTAGATTTTTGTAAGTTTTAAATATATTAATTCATATCAAAATATAATATTAATTTTTTTTTTTTATATTTATAGATGTAGATGCTCTAAAAATGCATCAACTATTATGCAGCAAAATTTACCATTATATACCGAATATCAATCTTTTGAAATGATTTACGATGTAACATCAACTTTTGTATCCACCTATTTGGTTATTGTATACTTTTTTACTTTTACAAATTCACCAGGTGCTGGAATCGAAAAACAATTCAAAATTATGGCAATTCAATTAGCTTTTTCAATTGTAACTGAAATTATTGTTGCCTATGTATCATTAGCTTATTTAAAACTTCCAATTATTATTCCATTCAAAAAGAGAAAGCAAGGTTTCCTCTTTATTACAATTTATTCATTTTTAACTGTAATAGCTTTTATTTCAATTCGTATCATAAATGTATTACATGGCCAATGGATTGTTTAAAAATAAATAAAAATTTAAATGGTTTTAAAAAAAAAAATTTATTATTTTACCTCTAAAAAAAAATATCGATCATAGTTTTTTGTTTTTATAAAGATAATTAATTTGTTTTTTTATAAATAATAAAAAAAAACTTTATAATTTTTATCTTTATTATATTTTAATTTTTTTTTGTTTTTTTTTTAATTATATTATTTATTATTTATTATTTATTATTTATTATTTATTATATATTTATTTATTTATTATTTTTCTAAATTAATTATGAAATTTGGGAAATATTGTTTTGGTTCTATTTGAACAGAAAATTTAGGAATTGGTTGTTTTAAAATTTCGCTGTGTGACAATGATTCGAAATTTGATGGTATTAATTTTTTAATGGTTAAACTTAATCTAAGAATGATTAATCTTAATTGGGAGGCTTCATCTTCTTGGTATGGAGCAACATTACCAATTTTATGTTTATAAGATCTAATAGTTTCGATAGCTAATTTGGCTTGGTTTAAAAAGTCTAAAGTGGTGGCGGCAAGAGATAACCAATGTTCGTCAGTATCACCAGAATCTCTAACTCTTTCCATTGGTAATGGTTCTGGTTGTTGATTTGGTGGGTTAAAGAATGGCTCAAACTTCTTCATATGTCTAAGATCATCGTTGCTAAATTCGGTTGGTAAAATTATAAATTTACCACAACTCTTTAAAATAACCATGAAACGGAATATTGCACGAACGACTAAATGGGTGGCGGTTAAAAGGATTCTTTCGCATGTTGGGGTGGGTTGTTGTTGTTGTAGTTGTTGTTGATGAGATTTTTTACCAGTTTTAGGTTTTTCTGGATGGTTGATTCTAAAGATATATGAATAAATATTTGAGTGGATGCCATACAAGTAATCTAAATAAAAATAAATTTGATAATATTCATTTGGAGCGTACACCTCGAGTTCGAAACCTAAAAAGAGGAAATATTGCATTACTTTTAATTTGAGATTAAATACAAAACTACCGAAATAAAGTTTTGTGTTTAATGGGTCGGCTGCTAAAACAGAATCTATAATATCACCTTCATTTTGAAGAAGTGAAAGTTCATAAATTGAAATACGAATCTTTCTTCTTTGTCTTGCTCTATTTAATAACAAATATGTAAAAAGTTTTAATAAAACCTGTGCTAAACTATCCATAAATAATGAGATTCTTTCTTTGGCTTTTTGTGAATGTAAAATTTGAAATGGAATACCAAAATCATTCATCCATTCAAAAAGAGATTCTCTTAATGAACTGACCTTAAAGAATTCGTTACTATTTGCTGTATATGGGAATAATAATCTCTAAAATAAAAAATATTAGTATATAATAATGATTATAAAAATAATAAATAATAATTACTCTTAAAAGTGATCTTGTTATTATATTTGGTGAAAATTTACTAAAATAAAAAAGATAATCTAAAATTGAAACAACATTGAATGTTTGTGGTTTTTGAATTGTTTGTTTAGAACCTTTCTTTGTTGACTCAAGTTGTTTTTCTAATTGTCTTAGTCTTTGAAATTCTAAACTAGACTCTGAAATATATGGCATCTTGAATAATGTTGATAAATCAGTGAAGAGTTTTGCAAATGATTTGACAGTTTCGGCAAATGGTTTTTCTTGAGATGTTCCACCAACACTTGAGAATAATTTCAATACCAAGTCATTATTAAAAATACTTTTTGGTAATTCGATTTCATCTTTAATATAACAATCATTCTTTAAAAACTCTAAAACTGGTTGAATATCTTGAATATATCTAATTGCAGTTTGACAATAATTTTGGGATAAATTAAATACAATCGAATAAAATAACTAGTTGTGGAATAAGTGATAAAGAATTAGTATGTTAATAATAAAAAAAAAGACTGATATAATAATAAATAAACTTACTCTTCTAAAAGTTATTCTATTTAATAATGATTTCATAATTTTAACTTTTTCGCTATCTTGTTCTTCTTTAATTGATTTTTCAAATTGTTTTTCTAATCTATCTAACATTGGTAATATTTTACTTGCACAGTCATTTTTTGAGGTAATTAAATGTAAATTATTTGTTGAATGGTTGAAATCTTCTTCGAAACATATATCTCCACGTTGAACAATAAGATTAATCGATTCACATGAAATTAATAGTGTATTTACATATAATGAAAAAATTTCATTCTTTAATTGTTCTGCAATATGTAAATACATACATGAGAATAATGTTAATGGCAATGGATCACCTTCTACCCAACTGATTTCATAACAAAGTAATTTATCGATAATCTTTAAAATTTGTAAATTTGATAAAGTTGAATCTTCTGGTATTTCACCTTTTTGGAATAGTTGTTCTGGTGTATAAATATGGTTTCCTGATGCTCTAGAATCTAATTTTGGGTTCATAATCTAAAATTATAATGAATTGTGGGTGTTAATACTTTTTTTTTTATTTTTTTTTTTTATTTTTTTTTTTACTATTATAATTACCTCTAATGCATGAGTTACCAATTCCAACTGAAAATCTTTTGCATGAATTAATTGACCTAAGCTCATTGACTCTGAGGCTTGAGATAAAACAGGTAAGATATCAATCCATTCTTCTTCTTTGTGACTTTCATTGGTGGTTGTACTTGTACTTGTACTTGCACTTGCACTTGCAGCAATATTATTACTGTTTAAATCTATGTTATCAAGCACGTTTATTTGATGTAAAAGACTATTTATTTCTTCTTTCATTGATTAAATTAAAAAAAAAACATCATTAAGAAAATTAAAAAAAAAAAAAAAATTTTAAAAGAAATAAAAAAAAAAATAAAAAAAATAAAAAAATAAAAATAAAAAAAATAAAAAAATAAAAATAAAAAAAATAAAATTAAAAAAAATTAAATGAAAGTATTTTTTTTTTTTTTTTTTTTGGGTCTTTAAATGAATTTATCAAAGACGGGGTTTTTTTTTTTTTTTAATTAAAAAGGGTTAATCTTTTTAATTAAAAAAAAAGAGGATATTTAATTTATTTATAATGAAAAAAAAAAAAAATTTTAATTTAAAAAAAAAAAAAAGAAAAAATTTTTATTAAATTTTGATCTATTTTATTTTTATTAAATTTTTTTTTTTATATATATAAAAAATATTAATATCAATATAAAATATTTTTTATTTATTAATATAACTTGTGGACATTTATTATTATTATTGACATTTGATCACCGGAAAGATAAACTGGGTAAGAACGAAATCATACACACATTTTATTTTCTTTACTAATTTGCATTATCGCCTTCTTCTTTTTTAAAAGAATTAATTTTTGGATAAGTCTTAGCCCAGGGAACAAATAAACCCCCCGTATTCGAATTTTTCCTAGTGTACAATTACTATGTTGGATATTTCGATCCTAACATTATATGTCACATATAATCATTGCAAGGCTATAATATAATATAGCCGCTATATATGTGAACATATCTATACACTGGCTTATACAAAAAACAATAAGCGATAATGCAGTGGTAGAAATTAAAGTAGCTAAAGTTTCGTTTTATAAACTATAATAGTTTATCTTTAAGTAAAGCTAACTAAAATTTTACAAAAATTATTATTGAAAAAAAGATTTTTATATGAAGCAATGAAATGTAAATATTTTATGGGAATAATTAAACAGTTCTATCTATTTTTTAATTAATTTTTTTATAAAAAAAAGAAATTGTGTGTGGTGGGGTTTTAATTTAATTTTTTTAAAAAATTTTTTTTCAAAATTTTTTTTTTTTTTTTTTTTTTTTTTCCCAACCATTCTTTATATTTTCAAAATACCCGAACCAAATAATAATAATTAAAAAAAAAACTATTAAAAAAAAAAAAAAACTTATTAAAGGTGTAGATTATATTGATGAGCCATTAAAAGCAACACAAGCTTACCCCGAATCGGGTTAGAAATTAAAAGAGATTGTTGGACACAGTGATTAGTATAAAAAATATAGAAGCTTTAGAAAGTAGCCCAAAAGAGATATTCCAGCCACTTCAGCCACTTGTGCCTCTCATGTCACAGTTGATATGTGTAAATGATTAAAAGAATTGAATAGACTAACTGGCAAACTCTTAAAAGAAGGTTTTCATTTTATGCTAATTCAAACAACAAAAAGAACAATTTTCAATCAATCAAGAAAAAAACAAAAAAATAAATAGATTAAATAAATAAATATTTTTACCTAGAAATTTTAATAAATAAAAAACTATTTTCTATTTTTTATCTAGAAATTTTTTTTTTATTAAAGGTTTAAATTTTTATTAGGGATGTGTGTTTCCTTTTATGATAACTATAGATTAAAATTTCCAAAAAAGTATACCCAATTTGGTTATAATATTTTATTTGCTTAAGGAAATTATAGATTCTTTATTATAATTCAAAAATTTTATTATTTTCTAATTTTTTTTTTTTTTTTTTTTTTTTTTTTAAAATTTTTTTTATTTTTTATTAATTTAGTAATGTATGGATCTAAATCGTATAACGATTAAATAAATTAATAAATTTATTCTACACAAGTATAAAAGCACAAAGAAGCACGTTGTTAATAGAACAGGAGCCATGATACCTCTACAACAAAATAGTAATAACAATGTTAAAATATCAACCAAATACCCACCAATTAATAAATTAGGTTATTTTAGTAGCGTATATAAATCGTTGTAACAAATCAAATGAAATGATAGATGCCAATAAGGTTAATGATGGTACCTATATAGGTAGTTGCATCGGGTAACTTATATTTCAAATGGTGTGTTAAGAGATAAAGATTAAAGTATGGTACTTAGGTTCAAATGTTATCTCTATAGTAGCAAAAAATAGAATATATTGTAATCTAGGTTGTTTATATAAAGGACTCTAATTCAAGCATTAAAATTACAAACAAAATAAGAGGCTACAATAAAGTAAGGGTAGTGAATTAAGGAAAATATGCAATAGTCAAATAGGGATTAGATACAGCACTGCTTTCAGAATAATTGAAAAATTTTGGTACATGAACTTACACGAACTTAGAGTAGTAGAAATAAAGTTAAATCAAAATGATCAATTATATCAAATATAAAAATAGATGGTTAGTGTAATAGGAGGAGGTTTATTTGGGTCTTTAGTCAAAGTGGCTGTAATGTATTCATATACATTTTAGAATTAAAAAAATAGTACAGTTATAATTATATCTCAACCAAATAATATATATATATAATATTTATATTTTCCTTTATTTTAAATAATTTATAAAAATTAAAAATAAAATAAAAATAAAATTTAAAAAATAAAAAAATTAAAAAATAGTTTTAGGTTTGTAATATAGATATGAATATACTAAATATTTAAGCAAATAATAATTTAAAAAGTTATAAAACTGTATTTATTTATGTTATGATAAAATCATTTATTTTCGAATTATTTAATTTTATTTTTTTAATTTTATATTTTTTATAATTTAAATCAAATAATTAAAACTATTTATATTAGTTTATAAATGGAGACCTTCTTGACAAGATTCCTTAAAATGAAAAGAATTTTTTCATTTTCTATGTGTTGATATGCTTGTTAATAAATTTCCGTATTCTTTGATGATGGTTAAGTTCTATGAAGTGAGCTGTTCTGACACTGTAAGCTCTATCCAACTTAACTGAAAAACATGGTCATCATTGGGTAATGTAATCAACTGATTGACTCACAGTAACTTGCAACATGTCACATACAGAGAATCAGAGTTAACTCGTTTTCTACATGAGTTATTGGGTGGTAACTGTAGTAAACTACATTAACTATAAATTGCTAAACTTCCAGCTTCAACAAAGCCAAAAAAATGTAGTAGATCTATAATCTTCACCATATTATAAATAATAACACCTCATCAGTGGTACCTCCACAACATTTACCCTCAATACTAGTTTGGGATATAAATATATCTGCAGTTCTACTTCTTCCAACTTTTACTTACCAAACCATCTTCTAGAGTACAGAACTAATTAACTAAGTAAACCAAAATAAAAAAAATTATATTAATATTAAATAAATAAAAGGAATAAATAAATTGTGTGACCATAATCAATTAACCCAATTGCGATAAATGTGATGATGGAAGCAATTCAAATAATATTTTTTTTTATATTATAAAATTAAATAAAAAAATATATCTGTGTTTAAAAATATAAGTGTGGAAAAAATTACAGAAGTTCTCTTTTTTTACAACAATCATTATTTTTTAATTAAAAAGATAAAATTTAAATCGGTTTAAATTAATTTATTTGAATATAATTTATTTTTAGAGAAAATTTAACAGTATCTTCTATGACGATGACCAATATCAATATAAATGATTTAATACCGGGTAAAGTAGAATCAAAGCACAACTTAATAAAATGGAATATACACTACTACATTATGAAACATGATTTGTATTGCTAAAATTTACGGATTCTGAAACACCTATATGATACATGATTTGAAACACAACCACTTGATGAAAAAGCTCTGCAATAATAAGTGTAAAATATTACTTGATATACAGGTTTTTGTTTTATGAAATTTTGCTAATTACTTACTTGAAGGTTTTATATATTTTCAAAATTTTTATATTGATATTTTTGATGGGATTTGTTATGTTTTATTAAAACTATTTATGTGAATGTGTTCATTGATGTTTGAAAAAAAATATTATAAATTTTAAAATATAAAAAAAATTAATTATTTGTATTTAAATTTTTAATTAAAAAATTTTCAAATTTTTTTTTATTTTTAATAATAAAAAAAACATCGTTTAAAAATTAAAATACCATAAATTATAAAAAAAAACTAAAAGATAGTTTATAAAAAGAATAAAAATTAATATATTTCCATGTAGTGGTTAAGGAATACTGAGAGATGCAGTATAGATTATTAACCACTACGGGGGGTGCTTAGTTTAGGCATGGTAGGCTCTAATATAACTAACCTCCCCGTGGTATTTTTTTTTTATAAAAACAAAGGCAAATATTATAAAATAAATAAATAAATAAATAAAATAATGGTATTTATACCATTTTATTATCATTAAAAATTTATAATAAAATCTTAAAATCATTTTTTTTCTTTAATTTTTTGGGGATTATTTTTTTTTTTTTTTTAAAAAGTTTACACTTATTTTATTTATTTATTTTATTTTATTTTTTTAAAGGTTTGTTTACACTTATTTTAATTATTTTATAAATCAATTATTTAATTTATTAAATTATTTATTTAAGTTATTAATCTGATTGAATAGATTTTTTAAAATAATAATAAATAATAATTTTATTTTATTTTATTATAATATAGAAAAATAAAGTATTTCATATAAAAAACTATTTATTTATTTAGATATTTTTAATGTTATAGAGTTTATACTATTATTAGTAAAGGGTGTATATTTATTTGATATGCAATATGGAATTGGATTCTTTGTTAATATGAGTTGAAATAAAAAAACAATCACCTGAACTATCCTCAATATTATTTTAATCTAACTGCAACACCATTGGTACAACTTGTATTAACAGCATATACAAAATTCGGCTTTGAAATACCTGTAGATATCAATGACAATGTCAAAGTTTTGATAACCTGTATAGATATTATTTTGTGAAATTGAAAATAAAAGAATTGATATGAATTCTTGTTTTACTAGATTTGAATCTTCTTTTGTATCACATTTGGTTTGTTGTAGTATTCATTTATTTTGATTTAATATAAGGGGGGTTCTATTTTAATATATTTCCGGGCACTGAATTTTGCAGCATTTATTACCTCTGATTATATGTAAAGAGTGGAATTTTTTAAAAGTTATTAGTAGACTATTTAATTCAATTAAATGAGATTTCTGCAAGATACTATGTAATGTGAAAGTTTTAATTTTTTGTGAATAAAAATTTGGTAATATTAAAATAATTAATATGACATAATAAAAATAAATAAAAAAAAAATAAAAAAATTAATAAAAATATTTTTTAAAAATAAATTAAATGTTTTTAAAATTATTTCTTTTTAATATAACAAAATAAACTTTAATCAAATATAAAATAATAATTTTTATAGGTATAACCTTAGGTCCATTAATGATTGATTTTTAAATATAAATCGTAAGGAGTGGGTGGGTAAAATAAAAAAATAAAATAAAAAAACTTCTATATTACCAAATTTTTTTATTTTTTTTTTATTATTAATTTAATAAATAAGTGTTACTTTAAGTATAAAAATAATATGTAGTAAATTAAATAAAATGGAATTTAGTGATGAAGTTCAATACTCAATATTATCATATAAAAACAGAGGTCATAAGTCGAACTCAAAAAATTGGGAGTGCATAAATCTTCTTGAATTTATGACACTAATGTTTACTATAGAAGTGGTAGAAAGGGTGAGGTTATGAAATGTTTTAAGGAAATTTTCTTTATTATGGTCCAATTTATTTATTCATTTATCAAATGGATTTTAATAATCCAATTTATTTATTCATTTATCAAATGAAATTATAAATAACATTACACAACTAACTTTAGAATACTATGCAGGTAAAAAAAAGTGCCTGAGAGGGTGCCAGTCATTTGTCATGACAACAGTAGTTGGCATACAGCAAAGATAGTGAAACAATATTTAGAAGAGAATAATATACTGGTTGATCTATTACCACCCCACAGTCAATATATTATTATAATTGATAATGTTTGGTCAATTGTAAGGGTATCAAAAAAGATGTTTCATGACCCATCACAAGACCTAGTTCAGGTATATCAATAGATGCATTTCATTCAATTGAAAAATCAATTATAGAATCACTCCCTGACCTAATATATGCAATGCTAAAAGAACATGGAGGATATACCAAATATTAATAATAACATTTATTTATAATTGTAAAAAAAATATAAATAAAATTTTTGAAATTGAAAAAACCTAATAAATATTAAAAACATATTTTTTTATTTTTTTTATTTTAATTTATAGCAAATAAACCAATATCTTGTAACATGACTTATTTTAGGGTCCTTTTATAAATATTAAATATGACCTATTAATTCAATAATTAATCATTTCCATCTTAAAAAAGTTGACTTAAACTCTTTGGTTTGGCAATAAATATATTTAGTGCAAAAAAGACTAATGGCAAAAAAGATGGAACAAGGTAACTTCATTTGGATATTTGAGCCATAACTAGGAATGATTCTAAATAGTTCCAAACTAAAATGAAAATTATATCTGTTAAATAACGGATA